AAACAAGTGAACCCGGGGGTGAATATCAGTATGGATTGACTTGATTTTCTTGCTTGCTGCTTGCTGCTTGCCAATAAAACCAAAACCACACTCCCAAACAAACGCTGTGGGAACAAAGACACCTGCTATCTGATTTGTTCATCTTGAATTTTGCTCATTTTAACAACCACATCTGCTCATGTCTGAATGCACATTTTGATTGATTGCTGAGGAAATTCAAATGCATATGTTTTTTGTTTTGTATCAGTCCTCGTTTCTTACCTGGCTGCATCACACGAGGCTTGGCCCCCAGGTAGGCCAAGTTGACGTTGGCCTTCCTGCCGTCAATTATTGGGTTGGGGTCCTTACAGGCCCGGTCTGCAGCCGAGCGGTCGGCCATCGTCACCTGACAGGGGAGGGAGAAACACAGAGCATGAGAAAGATGTGGATAACTGAAGCAGGCGTGTAAGTGAGGTTGAGGTTCCTTTTCTGCAGACTCAACAGGTTGACCTAACAACACACAACTGTATAGTTAGAGTGCATGTGTTTATAACACAAAGAGACAAATATAATTTTGTAGAGGCATACAGATGTGTGTGAAACTTTCTGTGTGTGTCCCTGCGATGTGGCCTTATTAGCAGCAAGTATTTGGGCCACACACATCCATCACCCTCATGTGGATGTGTTGAAACTATCAGCAGTGAATAGGAGCCAGGCTGGCTGAGATGACTGACTGAACATGGCTCCATTGTCGCTCCCATTACAACAACCCACTTTATCAGGGCTACTGCGCTCAGAGCTTCACGAGACAGGACCTCTTTTTCACACTCTTTTGCAACTGGCAAGTGGCCTGGCCAAAAGCCTTTTTAGGGAGAAAATAAAGGAAAAGAGAAAGAATGATGCATGAATATGGTGTCACTACAAAACTAAAGAGAAGATATGAGGATTAAATACACCTCAGAGAAATATTTGTGTCCACGTACAAATACAGATATTGTGCATATCAAGGTGACTGTGCAGTTTTCCACATCCTCTACTGGTAATATGTGCCAGAGTTAATTTCATGTTTTGGTGTCTAGATCCCTTTAAGCAGCCCTGTTACATGTATATGTATGCAGAAGTTCCAGTGTTGTACACAAGAGTGTAAATAAATTAAACTGTCAGTAAAGAGATATTTAATACTCAGTGAGTGGCATTGAGCAGCTTGCTGCTGAAATGCTTTTTGTCTAGGTTTTATGACAAGTGGGAGCAAAATATTTACGAAAGTTAGGAGCAAAGTTGTAAACAGCTTAGAGGTTATGAAACCAGCGTAACCGCAAACAAAACTGCTCTGTAACATAAAGTCATCATGATTTTTTCCCCTCAGCCCACCAGAGCTGTCACTGTAAGGGCAGCTCACTTTAAAACGTGTGAGGGCGCATAGCAAAGCGCAACAAGTTTGTGAGTGCGAGATTGCAACAGACGCCAGAGTTAAATTTGAGTAGGACACTGCTTATCAAAACATTAGTATCTCATGACTGCCGATGTATTAAAGTTAGTCATGATGTTGTGACAGACAGCAACAGCCGCGCAGTCGTATTATTTCCTACATGCGTGAAAGTGTGCAGGAGTTACATTCTGTATAAACTGAAGTAGTAGTAGTAAGACGTTACTACAAAGGGATACTTACGAATCCATAACCCCTAGACTTGCCGGTCTGTCTGTCGGTGATGACCACCGCTTCTTCAATCTCACCAAACACCTCAAAATATTTCCTGAGACTTGAATCCGTGGTGTGGTAGGGAAGACCCCGACAAAAATCTTCGTATAGGTCGTGTCCTTTTGCGTGGTGTGCATCGTTAGTGCAAAATACAATAAATAGGAACAATAAAAATAAAAAGTATAGTGCAATGTCTCCTTATCAACAATTCTTTGGATGAAGAGAGAGAGAAAGAGAGATCAGCTGGCTCTTTAACTTTTTCAGAGAGAAAACAAAACAAAAACTCGACAAAAGTGAAGCCTGGAGGTAGATTTATGTTCCGACAGTGAAGAGGGGAGTTATATGGAGCGGATTGTCCCAGCGAGACCATCAGGTGTTTCCAGCTCTTCTTGGTAACTCTGCTGTCTAACTAAATAGGTTGGGGACCCATTCCTAAAAGCGCTGCTCCTAACTCCACCCAGCTTTCAGTCCATCTCTGCCCGCCCACCAGCGCGCACAAACAGCTGGGAAACTGGAGCTCCGAAAAAGATCCCGGCTGCCTTTGCTGGAATCACGTTAATTTCATCAGGGGCCAAAAAAACCTGATTCTACTCATGACATGTTGGTGAAAAATATGAGCACAGGCTTGTAGTATAGTTCATGTGAAAATGTGTCAAACAGAGGACATATCAATATCTATATTTCTCTCTTTGGCGAGATAAAACGTAGATCAGGGTCTCTATAAGTTTACATCGATTAGGCCTCCTGCAAAACAGCCGGTCAAGGCGGGTTGGACAGACACATCACAGCAGTAGTGAGCAGAGAGACAGGTGTAGCTTTGAGGCTCCACTGGAAGGACCAAACTTAAAGACAGTCCACTTGTGGGACGCTGACGGAGTTTAGGCAAGTTTCCTTCTCTGTTTTAACGGTTTCCTTCACTTTAAGGGGTTCTGCCATTACAGCCTTGAATGAATGAATGAACTTACAACAAGTTTAAAAAATCATATCTGACAACATTTTAACAAGTAGTGCTCCCTACTTCGCTTTTAGGGTCGTTGGGATGTTGACGTGGTGCTGAATGAAGCCTTATCATCGTAAAAAGATGGTGAAAGGATAACATTTCAATAATTAAATCATTGTTGTGACAAAAGCGCCGTGCGTCATATGGCACAGCTATTATGATGGGAAAGGATCAAGTAAAACACCGAGAGATCAATTCAATCAAGAGTCTCTGCACATCAATGATTAAAATAACTTGTGAACCTCCTCTGCACTGGGCGGCCTGTTGGATGGACGACCAGCATGAGTGATTCACCTCCGGTAATGCGAGAGGGAACTCTGCGGTTAATCATTCATGGCGGCTCCGCTTCTGTGAGCCCTCTGTTCCTGGCCTACATATATCCTGTCTCCCCATGTAACACGGTGAGCTGACACATTTGCACACGGGAACAGCATTATGCAAGTAGGCTATTTGATGTGGGGTAATAAAAAGATGTGTGCAAAACCTCGAAGGCTACCTGCCGATGACAGGTTACGTGACTCAAGCGCACCAAAATGGCACTTGTAGAAATGTTTGGCTGATTGTATCCTATCCTAACTCCAACCAAAATATATATATTTTTTGTTGAGTATGACGAGGGCCAATGCGCGCTGTCACCTCCATCTGAATGTGAATTGCCACTGCAGGACAACCAGATGACAAAGAAATGCAACCTGATAGAGCATCTTGTTGCGGTGCTGCACTCACTATTTTATTCATGCGGCCACACGCGCTTAAAAGTCCGAGTGGAGGATCGTGTTTCCCAGCTCAACAATGGGGTTGCGGTCAGGTTGCGTACAATTGTTGTCTTCTGTTCATGTGCAGCATGCTGACTAGTCTGAATCCTCTTATACTTTGACAATAACAGGCTGTGGAGCCATTGAACACTTACTTAATTTCCCAGTATTCTTTAGAAATACTCCCTGACACCTCAACATCACATGTAGCCTACAGGGAATATGTGTCAGCAGCCTGGTTCCCATCTAAGCTGGCCCCTTAATTTACTTCAAACATACATTTGACATGATAATATACTGTTACTTTGTGCCTTAGCACACACCTGTCGGGCAGAGACACGCTAAAGGTCAAAGGTCACTGGAACAGCTGAATAGCCAGTGCTAGCAGTCACACTGAGGTCATAGCTACTCAAACTCTCAGAAAAATAAAAACTTAGCCTGGGTAATGAGTTAATTTTATAAAGTTTTAACATTCTCACAGATCACTGAGCTCCCACAAACAACACATAGGGAAAATGTGAACTTTATTGATCAACATGTTGCCAGAACCTCCTTCTAGTAGCTTACGTTATAGATGAGGTGCCCTGACTTTAGGGAGTTGCGATACAACTGTAACCCACTGAAACAGCGCCATCTTATGTCCAGCGGCGCAACCACAGTACACCCTTAACAGGGAGACTTAACAATTTCATATTTTACAATTAAATGTAGAAAGAAAAGAAAAGAAAAAGTTCCTTAAAATTAACTTTGTGTATTGGCAAGAACATTAAGCTGTCATCACATTTATTTAAGAATTTACTAAGGGAAATTATATTGCATTGCATTCCTTTGTGCTCATTACTGAGCTACAATATTATTAGGCTACAACAGTTTATGGGCTGAATGCACGTCCCTGCAGAGAAAATAGTACTTTTTCATGAAAGCACAAACAATATCTTCAACTGTAGGGATAATCACAGCTTAATTGCATCTGTTAATTTCTTACAATACATAACAATGTATAGCCTACATTATACATTTCTTTACATTTTTGTTTTTACAAGTTTCAACAGGCCTCTCGTCTGTGCAAAAGGAATAATTTTGGCTCTCTCCCTCTCTCTTTTTTAATAGTGCTGATTCATGGTTCATTTTTGTAAGAAAATTAAAAGATCTCCTCTTTGTCCTCTGCATGTTGAAAGCTAGAATCACTCTCCAGCTGTTCCTTCCTGAGCTCCTCCACGTGGGTCAGTTCCACCTCCTCCTCCCCGTCATTGTCTTCACTTATTCTATCTGCACCTTCACCTCTATTATCTCCACTCTCTCCCCCCCCCCTTCTCCTTTCTCTCCTGTTGGCTTTGCTCATTTCCTCTCTGCTGTCACCTCCAGGCTCTCTAACCCTCTCCCCGCCCTCAGCCGCCTTGCATGGGACCTGGCTGCGAGGCGGTGGATCTAGGGGGTCCAGGTTGAGAGGATGCTGTAGCAGCTCCACAGGGGTGAGGGCTGCATCCTCGTCCACCACCTCTGTGCTCAAGGTGGGGGCAGGGCAACGAACACGGGCTGACTTGGTCCTTAAACGTGTCTTGAGCTCGTCTTCCCTTAACTGAGAGTGTGAAGGGAACACAAGCAAAAAACATAAGAAAAAGTGAGAGGGGGAGACGGAGAGAAACAGCTGAGGTGTTCAGGTAAATGATGACACACACACACACACACAGACTTGACCTTGCGTCTCTCTTCAGCAAGTCTTATCTTCTCCTCAATCACTTCTCTGCTGGGGAGACTTTGCTCCTTGGCTTTCAGGGACTCCAGTCTGGCAGGAGGTCTTCGTCTGACCACCTCTCTGTCATCCAGCTGATACACACACACACACACACACACACACACACACACACACACACACACAGCAGGGGGAGACAGAGGACAGACAATCTCAGAATTACAAATGAATGCACTTCCACGCAAACATACTGACCTCACCTTCCTGTGAAAAATAATTGGCAACACAAATCAATGTCCTATACAAAATTAACTTTAATACTTTGGTATAAACTTTACTATACATTCTTTAGTTGTGAATTATTCCAGGACAGAAATTTTCAAATGGGTGGCCAGTCAATGAGACCAATGTTAGTTTTTTCAGTCTTCAGTTCAAATGTGTTTTTACACAGCAGACATTTTAGCATTAAAAGTGCCGTGATAGCCAATAACATTAAACATTTAGGTGTGCTAGTACACCATGTTGGGCTATTGGTTCATTTAAATGGGAAAGAGGTATAATTAAAGGTACCATTTGTAAGAAGGTGAAGCAATTAACATTTATTAATCTCTTTGTATTGCCAATGTGTGAATAGACTGTACCATATTTTAAAAATTTGACTTTCTCGGTTACCCATAATAGCCTGTGGAAAACGCTTTCTCTTCCGCTCCCCTACAGTGTGCAACGCTAGCTAACATTAACTTAAAAATGGAGTCCGCTAACATCAACAAACAGCCTGCACCCACCACAACACAGGGTCCAACAAAGTCCAAAGTCAAAGCTGCCATTACTGTAAAGCATGTGAAATACATTGTGATATGTGCTTTTAGTTGGCTAATTTAGCTAACGTAAGTGTACTTGCTAACACAGATGAAGTACTAGCTAGCTAACACAGCAAAATACTGTCTCGAGTGCATAACGTCAGCTAATTCATCCAAACTCCCGGGGCTGATCTGGCCGGTAATTTGCTGGATTTGCTAGAGTGCTGGCGCAAGCAACAGGATGCTACTGCAGTTCAGTTAATGCACACCAGTGTCATTAAAAACAAGGGTTACACATGTAACCTTTCATATTATTAGTAACACCTAGGCTTTTTTGTTGCAAGAAATACATGTTGTGAAAAAGGCCTGTTAGTTACCATATAGTATTATGGTCTTTTCTTTTTACATAACCCTCAATTAATAGACGTGTTACTACCTGTGTGCTGTAGGCTACTCTATAGTAGCCAAGGTCATCTATTGGCCACATCTTGGTCCTGTCATTGATTCATTTTCATATTTTAATGTTATTTGAGAACCTAATATTTGTCATTTAATGTTTTTTATTTTTCATTCAGATTGTGAGAAATAGAGAGAAACAGAACAGGATGCTTGATGAGGATGTTAAGAGGGTAGCTTTCTCTGTCCATGCCATATTTTGGTTTTCAGCCCGCAACTTTTCTGTTTTGGTTCACTCCAAACAATCCAATGGCTTTGTTTATGGCCACAGCAGATCCAACAAACACAGTTAGCGAATAGCTGGTGCCTGGTGAACATAGTGGAGCATTTAGAAGCTAAAGTTGGCAGAGACCAAAAACAGTGCTAATTAAACTGAATATTGAACTCAGTTGGACAGAAACTTGACTTCAGAGTAATGCTAGTGTTGCTCCGTATCTGCTGGAAGTGTAAATAGGCAACTGTTTGTCTGCTGTCGGCCATATCAACTAGAAAGTCATAATGCATTAGTCTTGTTTTCACTGCCCCCAATTATTGCAGGTTTAGGTAATTAAGTACTTCTGCTAGTAATAATAGTAGTAGCAATATTAGATTTGCAGGCAAAGTTACTGACCTCATCTAAGCAGCAATGTCTGTTCTGAGACTTGAGTATAAGCTTATCCAATGGTGACTAAATCCAATATCACAATATGTTTGAAAGATGATTGAAAACTAGCTAGAGTAGTTAGATCTGCTCAGAAGAATTTAATGCAGCTTTTAAAACTATGGAATTTCTGGTATAATCACAATATTAAAACAATCAAAGTTAATATCTAGTCTAATATCACAATATTGGTATTATGTTCTCCACTTCTACCCAAGTTTAAACCAGTGTGCACCAGGTACCCACCATGATGCTATAAGCCTCTCCAGCCCTGCCTCCCCTCTCTCTGGTCTGTCCCACTGGGATGATACCCTGGTTCAGCAGCTCCTCCAGGATCTCACTGGACTTTGGGCGCTCCTGCACTGTGCTGTCCTGCTGCAGGAAGCCTGCAAGACACACGAAATAAAAACACTTTAGGTTGTTTCCTCTGGATTTTCTCTACACGCTCTGTTTTATTCAGCATGTTTGGGGCACATGCTCACCGTCTTGTGTAATTCTGTCAGCCTCAGGTTCTCTGACACTTGTTAGAGCAGGGAGTTTTCTGGGTACTGCTCCAGGTAACACAGGCATCTCCCTGTTCTCCATCACCACTCCGCTGTCTGTGGTGCCCTTCGACACGGCCGAGTCTCCACGACCATCCAGTTTACTTCCTGTCTCATCCTGACAGCAAAGAGACACACTATGAATGCATGAAACATGGCACAAGACATTTTTTTTAACCTCTGACCTCATTCTTTTTGTTTTCCCAGACATGATGTGGTCATGGTGACATCTGTGTGTTGACACATTGTCATGAACACAGTAGCTCAGGAACAATAATGATACACAGCAGGTAACCCCTACAAATTACATCATCATCGAGTTTGAAAACGAACTGGTATGCACTAGCCTGTAAGTGTATACTGTAACCAGTGAAAAAAGTACTGTACTAAGTAGAATTTTTACTTGAGAATTTCCATTTAACGCCCCTTTATACGTCTAATCCACTGCATTTCAGAGGGAAATATAGTACTTTTTGTTTTACATCACTCTGACAGCTACAGTCACTTTGCAGAAGATTTTACATACAAAACATGATTATAGGGCTGCACAATTAGTTGAAATGTTTGGTACAGACCTCAACAACGTCCTACATCATGATTTTAATAATTTCTTCAGTGAAAACTAAAATTGTGACGCAAATTCCCACTAATAGTGAATCATATCACAAATTGTAACAGCCGTCAAAATAAGCTAGAACTACAGCTTTAAAATGCTACTTACATGTTTACATCAATCTTAATAATAACACAACAGTATGGTGTGTATTATAACGCTCTGAAATTAGCTGCATTATGAGTACTTTTACCTTTGATATGTTAAGTTTCTTACAAAATCTCTGTACTCCAGTGACCTTTTGAATGTACATGAATATTTGAGTTATACTATATATATTTGAGTTTGGAGTTTCACCCCAAATATTTAGATAATTAATGGAGAACATACGGTACTGCATTTTGTTATGTATTGTGTAACAGCTTAAGAGGTTTTGTGATGTAAAAACTAAAAAAATTAAAACTGACCAATTAACACCAAAACCATGCCCTAATTTATACCTTAAAAGGACCTAATTTAATTTAATAAAGGTGAAAATTCAGGGATGTTTTTTTGTAATCTGATCAATGTTATAGGGTTTTTACTCCTTATAAACCCCCCAAACCATAACTAACATTAACAGATACCTCAATAAATTGCAATTCATTAGGCTACTGTCTACTTCAAATCTCATAAAATGTTAAAATTTTGTATTAATGGATTTATAAGGGATTCTGCTTTGTATTGTCCGCATAATGAACACTGGACACTTTAAGTACATAGAGGAGGTGGACGAGGACGCTGCCCTCACCCCTGAAAATAAGACTTTTACTTGCTATAAAGTATTTTTACTTTGTGATATTGCTAGTTTTACATTGGTAGCTACTTCTCCACCATTGGTTTATTACCACCAAAGTTTTTTTAACATTGTCACATGCTGTGTTTTTATAGGTATTACAAATTAAGTAACTCAGTAAGACGCACAAACTAGTGACAGTACAGTTCTGGATACTTGGTCAACTCTTCCTTTAGGGTCACAAAATTTTATGGCACACAGATTCCGGCGTAACACCTGTTCCGGCTACTTTACGATACTTAAGTGTTAACTGCAGCTTACTGTTGTACTTTTCTGGGTTACAGTTATAGACAATACACCCGTTTTGAACCCCACTCCTCAATTTTAGCTAAACATAACTGAAAGTGGCGGGTCTTGTGAGACGCAGCCTACCTCGTCTTCATTCACCTCTTCCGGTCTCAAAGGTTGGACCACAGTGTTTGTGGAGTTGCCGCATCCCATGTTCACCTCAAAGCAAAGACGTGAAATAAGTCAGTAAAACTAACAAATGTAATTGCACCTCGGTGTGTTTTTCCTCTGTTATTTGATCCGTGTAGCCTTGCATTCCTACACACACACACACCCGGACACAGTCTCCACGGACCCGGTGCGTTGCCAAGGGCCGTTGCTACAATAACGTGACCCGGCGAAAGAGATGACACCCAGGAACAAGCTGAGGGTGTCAGAGTCAGGGCACTACAAAACACCGTCGTCCTGAAGGCAAAATACTGAATTATTTATCCATTTGGGCAATTTACTGAAACTTTCAAAAGTCTAAAAATACTGCAGTCAGTATCAAATCATTCCCAACTTGGTATAAAGCAGGCACCAGCCCTGGAGGCCCCAGTGGTGTCTGCTGGTGCATCCTCTTCCTAAATAAACTTTTGCATTATTTGTTGTCAGTGGCAAATACATACATCTTCTTGTTTGGGAATGTGCACAGAAAGCACAGTATCACCTGAAATAGGGGCCTCATTCTCAAGAAGGGTCTGGCATTATTATTCTGTCTTTTCTACATGTCTTGTAAAGGTGCCTTGTTTCAATACTTATATAGTTCAAATTACTAGATTAATTTGCGTTCAACTAAATTGCCACACACAGAAGGGACCAGAGTCTACTTTGCCCCCAAGGGCAAGAAAATAATCAGCAGGAGTAAATTCTATATAAACTAGTAGCATAAACTCCCTTATCTCCCTTTGGTATAACTGATATTTATGCCTACAGATGTAAAGACAGTCGGCAAAATAAAGAAAATCTACCATAGACAAGTGAAGAAACTTAATTTCAACTACACACTACTTGATAGGTGACTGATCAGGGTAGACATATTAAGCTGAGTGAGAATTGGCTTTATCAGCTATAAAAGAGTTCTGTTATTCAACAGTTTGCACGAGTTTTGTAGCAACAAAATGAATGTAGTCTACATGTGTTTAAATAAATAAGCATATTTTTGAGAGGTATACTGATTCTAGACCAGCCAATGTAATATTGCTTTGAAGTACTTTATTAAATTTTGCAACACCACATGGAAGAGACCACAGGGGAGCAGTGGGCTCCAGGCTCTACTGTAAGTAGGAGGTGGCGCTGGAGTGGCCCGCGGCCGTGCAGAGCCTGGGCTTATTGGCGAGGACCACAGTGGTATTGAGTGCAGGCAGGAAACTCTGGTGCAGGTTCTTGCACTTCTTCTGCACCTCCAGGGCACGAGCATTTTTGGTCAGTTTGTCCTCCAGATTGATCAGGCGCCTGCGTGTGAGATCCGGGTGCTGCCTATAGATAAAGTTTAACATAAAAATGAGTCAGATCGGGACACTGAAGACAACAGTCAAAATGGCAGGCCACAGCTTGTACAGTTTGGCATCATCCATTAGTGAATGGACAGACTTACTGAGAGCACTTCAGTACTGGGTAAAGTCCAGCTGCCATCAGTTGTCAGATCATATTTCTCCAGCGTGAGGCTGATGTAGGGCTGGAGGAACAGGAGAAGACAGTTAAAGCCATTGTGTTTTCACAGTGGTTAACAGAGAATCTGTGACTGCAGCCACATCATATTAACTGTATCTGCCTGCCGAACACTTACCTGGTCCAGCTCATGTCTGGGTCTTTGGCTGAGGATGTCCAGGCAGAAGGTGGCCTGATGCAGCTTAGAATCACAGTTCCTGATCTGACCCACCACTTTCTGTATGTCCTGTGTAACATCAGAAATCTCCTCCCTTATCTGGAGATTACAGAATGCGAACATCACAAAAAGTGAGATACAATTTACCTGTGGAATGGCAGATTGTGTAAATTGTGACTACACTCTAATAGACTGACCCGCTGACTCTCCCATTTCAGCGTTTCCTGGACCTTGTTCAGCTCATTGATCTTCTTCCTCAGGGCAACGTCTGTGCCGTGGCGCTGGCACTCCAGGGCATTTTTAGCTATAATGGAAGAGAGAGACAACGATGCACAGTGGAACCAGCGAAACATTCACTGGAATTCAGGTTCAAAAATTCGAAACTATCCTCTATTTAATGACTTAAACCTAGATTGTTGAGATAATACATTATAACAAAAGAGTTGTAAACTTCGGGTTAGTTTTCAAAGATGTCTTACATTGGCCAGGGTAAAGCCCAGGTTTCCCCTGAAGGAGGAAGAGTCCTTAATCAGGTTATCAGCCGTCAGCCTCAGGTCCTTGCAGTGGGACAGCCATTTGTCGTAGCTCACATGGTTGGGCTTGTACTGAATGGCCGGGAGCTGGGAGGTCGAGGTGTTGAGGTTGTGAGTGATGCATTTGGTGGTGAGCTTGATGGCTTTGCCCTTGTCCTGAAAATCTGCCAGCAGCTGAGCACGGATCTCCTTGAGAGAGCTGGGTGGGGGGTTAGGAAACAATGTGCGACACAAAAGAAGCAGATTTGAAATCATCTGAAAAAATACTGTTTTCACACTGGTAAAATCTGTAGGAACAAATGCAGGATGAAGCTGCAATACCTTGCAGCTCTCACACTTTTGTTCTCTTTGCTCTTTATTATTATTATTATTATTATTATTTATTCTGCCGTTTTTTGGCATCTATCTTCTCCTGTACCGCTTGTCCTACAAGTCGTCTCCCATTCACTCCCTGTTGTAGCTGCAGGCCGAGGTCTCCCCCTGTCACTAATTCTTTAACTTGCTGTATCTTCCTCCCTGTTTGGAGTTTGGGCACAAGAGGTATATTTTTATGCTCAGCTACTCAAGCTCTAACCAAAAAGTCCAAAATGATAGCTGTAAATACACTTTTTGCATCAACAACACATCAAATTGTATCATTACAATCAGGCTGGTGGTGCAGTTAGTTAGTGATCAGTCTCTGGAGCAGCACTTCCATTCCAATTGTGGCTTTGAATCCTGCAGCGGGCACCAGTGTTAACTGGTTTCAGCTTTAAACACCTGTAGCCTATGGTGTTTGAACTTAATCATAACAAACTAAATATGGTGACCACAAATTCCTCGGGTTGCAATGTTAGTACATTATAGCTTTAAACTTTACACAGCTGTTTGTTGTTAGAACTTAATGTTGCTAATTTATCCCGCTGATTTTGTTATCTATCTTCTCCTGTACCGTTTGTCCTACAAACATGGTTTCAACTTCAAATTGTATCTTCATGAGATGGGTGCAATTACCTGTGTTGCTGATATCTGTAATGGTTGATTTTATATTAATATTTTTATGCATTTTAAAATGACTGTGTTCCTATGAAGGGAAGGCTTTCAAGTTTCTTTGTCAATCATGTCTTATTCTGACAAAAAAATGGCTCCTAAGCACCAATAGAAGGCATGTTTTGCTCTGTGATGGCTACTCCACTGTTTAAGAATAAAATAAATCAACTGCCAAAGAATTGTGCTGTGAAAGACTGGCGCGATGGATAAAACACAGGCCTTTGGTGTGAGTGACCTGGGTTCAATTCCCCACTGTGACCCATCCACCATTGTGTCCCTGAGCAAGACACTTAACCCCTAGGTGCTCCAGAGGCATGCGAACTCTGACATGTATAGCAACTGTAAGTCGCTTTGGATAAAGGTGTCAGATAAATGTATGTTTATTTATTTTATTCTTCAACAGCGCAGTAGCCATCACAGAAGATATGTTTATAAGCAAAACATGCCTTCTATTGGTGCTTAGGAGCCAGTTTTTTTTTAGAATAAGACATGAATGACAAAGAAACTTGAAAGCCTTCCCTTCACAGTGTATCTGAGTAGTCCAGTGGTGGAGGTCTTGCTCTTGCTCCGGATTCTAGGGATTGATGGACAAAACCCTGCTCACAGCAGGTTAACCAAACTTAACACATATGTTTGCTGAACAAGTGTGTAGCACATCATTGAGTCTCTTAGCTGATGGAGCCGCACATTGCACCGACAGCGGTAGCAATCGTAAAAAATAGCTGTTAGCTCTCACACGCATTTTATCAGTATATAAGGATATTGTAGATAAAGAAAACCTGGATGTCAGCTCAGTATTAAGATGTTTGTACCAGATGTTGCCAGGCATGGTAGAAGAACTGTATTTTTGCGATTACCATTTTAAAAGAAGCTTTAAATTAAGGAGTAGTAAGAGGTGCAACATTCAAAACGCTGAAACAAAACATCCAAGTTAATAATTAATAATTCTGGATCTGTCTGTTGGACCTTAGTTTGTTGAGCAGGATGCAGATCTGCTTGTGGAGCAGTTCTCTGATCTCATTGGTCAGCTGCTCTTCCTTCTTCAGCTCGATGAGGACGTGGCCCTGTCTCAGGCCTGCGCAGCTTTGACTGTTACTGAGCGCCATACAGTCGTTCATGAGCTGACTGACTGTACTGACTGTATATATATACATACATACATACATACATACACTTATACGAGTAAAATAGGACACTGTAGTGCAGTATTAGTTAAGACTCCTGCTACTTTGTAACTCTTTAACAGTGTTGTACTTTGTGCTCAAAAAACTAACTTAAGTTTTTATTGGTTTGCTATATATATGTACCAGCTCCATGGCAGTGATTTCCTGGTCTACTCGCTCGATGCTCTCAGATATCTGGGCCTGCCACCGGCTGACTTCTGTATGCTGAGAGCTGAGATGCCTCATTGTGCACCAAGTGGCAGAGGGGAGCTACAAACAACAACAAAAAATTATAGAAAAGACACAAATTAATACACCTGAATATTTAAAAAATTGAAAACTGCTAATCAAATTTTCTTCAAATAGCTGCACCCTACAGGCCACTTTGCAAAGGACTTAGGTCAGGTAATTTACTATGTAAATATAGTGGGAGGATCAGCGGATGCTCTTTACCTGTGAAATATCTTCACCCAGGGTGCAAGCAATTTCTGAGTCCAGCTTCAGCATTTTGTTCCTCTGAGGCGGTGGTCTGCTGGTCAGCAGGTTTTTGGCGGCAGACAGGACAGGCAGAGTGAATCTGACCTCCGGCCTCTGCTGGTCCTCTTTCAGTTCATGATGTTGCCTAACCGTGTGACAAGCGTTTATGATGTAATAAAACTTTATTTTGCCTCTATGATTTTGTCAAATGTATTCAGTGTTTGACCAAATGCTGAGTAGGGTTCTTTTTATTTTTTTTTAAGTACATGACAAGTAGA